CCAAGATGGAGAGCGTAGAGGTGTAAGTTAAGAGAAGTGAATTGGTTTGTATAATGATTATGGGCGGGGCGGGGCGGGGCGGGGGCTTCACAGTAACTGCCGGCCAATGCTCTACCTTTATCTCTATTTTAGTTTAATTTTAACTTTGCTGACTCACTTTCTCTTTCTCTCATTTTCTCCATTTTGCTTGCACTTCTGCTTTTGCAATTAATGCCATGAGCCCATCCCATCTCCATCTTTCGCTAATAATATCTCTTCTCCTTTTTATCTTTCATTTTTTTCTTCTCTTCTCAGTCTCATCACAGTCCCAGCACAACTTTATCTTATTTACCCACCTCCAAGGTACTCCCATTACTGCTATTTTCTTCTTTCTTCATTTTTTAGCTGCTTAGCTTTGTCTTCTATGTGAGTGCTTCCTCTGAATTTCCTAAGTACAACATAAAGCAACAAAACAAAAGACACAGACACCACACATTTATGTTGATTATAAATATGGGTAGAAGCAAGTTTCACTTTAAAAGTAGTTGGACAAGATATGGAAATTGGGCCCAATAAACCTATATAATCGATCTTCTGCATGACCCTACAATAATAACATAACATGCTATCAATCCTTAAAATATTGGATGACAAATTAATACTTTCTTCATAAAGAAGATAGGTTTAAAGTTTATCGTGTCTCTAATCATGATGTTTCGTACTCTTTCATCATAAAATGCGATTTCTATTATTCTATTTTTGACTATAATATGTCAATTTTATTCCTTTTTTCTTTTTTACCCTTACACTAAATTAAAGAATATGCTTTCACTAAGCTAAATATCATTTCAAAATCATCGCTATTCACAAGCTTCAAATAATATCTATTAAATGATTATATATATAAAGTTTACTTCATTTATAAATAATGAGATTATGAGTAGGTAAATGTAAAATTTAAATTATGCAATTATGAAACGCAATTGTCTCCATAATCATTCTCATAATAGAAAAAGGGAAAATGAGGAGGATGTTGAAAGAGAAAGTATGTGATGTGCTCCATTAATATAAAAGCAGCATAAAAAAAAAAAAAAAGGGGGCTACATTTTAGACTATTTGTTGTAAAGATAGAGAGCATTATAGTAAAGGCATGGAAAAAGTTGTACCAATCACCATTGAAGAAGAAGGGAGATAAAAAAAAAAAAAAAAAAAGTTGGTTGTGTTGTCTATCAATGGATATCTTCATTGTCTTGTTTACTCATTTGGAAAGAATGAGGAGCTTAATCTTTCAAATTTTGATAAAACAAATTAAATCTTCAAGATAAATTTGCAGTAACTTTTGAGCTGTGATATTAAATTTAAAAACTTCAAGTTGTTATGAAATTTCCCAGAAACTGCTCCACCATCTTCAATATCACAAAGTTTTGGCTTAAAAATGAAAGTTTCAAATACAGTCGTACAAATATAGCTTCAGAGAAACGGATGGCTTGTGATGAAATAAATTAAGTTCAACACTGGCATGGGCATGAAATTAATAATTTTTCTACCACTTTCTCTACGCTGCATGTTACGAGTCTGCTGGTTAGGGTTGGTAGTTGCATTTAGTTAACATTTCAACTCAAAAGTAGTTGGTTTAGAATGATGTCGAGAGAGAGTTTTGAATTTGATGGCAACGTTCAACCAGAATGTTATGCTAGCTCATCTTAATAATTGAGTACAACTATTTAGGTAATGGTGTTTAACTTTATCTTAATTAAGACGAACTCACATGCATGGCTAAATAATCTAAATACTTTATAATCATTGGCACCTTGTTACAACCATCTCGTCCGTCAAAACTGAGTTTGAATTGATAATACGTGAGGGTTGTTGATTCGAATTAATAGAGGGTAGCGGGAGTTGGACTGGGGAAGGCCCAGCACCTTTCCCTCCAACTCAATATAATATAAAGTAAGGGGAGGACTTGGACCAAACTGTTGACGTGTGACCACACAATAGAAGAGACAGGGTTAATGTGAAAGTGAAACAATTTAATAAATATGAGGACGTCACGTGGCCCATCTTTCCCTTTTTTTTTTTTTTTTTTTGGAGAACGACTTAACATACCCAAAGTTTATCGTAACGACAATGGTATCTAAAATGTTTTAAAACGACAAATAGATACCTTCCGTCATATTCCGTTAATGATTTCTGTTTATATAGTGAAAAGACTAAAATGCCCTTAAAAGTTTAAATTTTAGTTTTTATAAATTTAAAAATTTCTAAAAAAACCCTAGGTTACAAATTTAACTAAATAACCCAAATATTAAATTTTTATAAAATAACAAAAACACCCCGCCACCTGCAGTGCCAGTTCCGGCCACGACGCCGGAATCTGGACGGAAAGCTGCATCACGACATAGACCATTCGGATCTGTGTCGTAACGCGGCGATCTGGCTTTTTCCGGCCAGATTCGTGGCTGTGTGGCCGGAAAAGGCCAGATCTACGGCTAGATCTGGCCGTCGACGCCGCAAAACTGAATTTGCGGCGTCGACGGCTAGATCTGGCCGTAGATCTGGCCTTTTCCGGCCAGATCAGCCACGGATCTGGCCAGAAAATGCCAGATCTGGTTGCTGCTTCAACGGCCAGATCTGGCCTTTTCCGGCAGATATGTGGCAGATCTGGCCGGAAAAGAAAATATCGGCACGTTACGACACAGATCGACGGGTCTGTGTCGTAACGCAACTTTCCGGCCAGATTCCGGCGGGTGGTGGCCGGAATCTGACACTGCAGGTGGGGGGGTGTTTTTGTTATTTTACAAAAATTTTTATATTGGGGGTATTTAGTTAAATTTGTAAACCTAGGGGGTTTTTTAGAAATTTTTAAATTTATAAAAAACTAAAATTCAAAATTCTAGGGGCATTTTAGTCTTTTCACTATTATAAACAGAAATCATTAACCGAACATGACGGAAGGTACCTATTGTCGTTTCAAAAACTTTTGGGTATCAACTTGTCGTTATGACAAACTTTGGGTATGCACAAGTCGTTCGGCCTTTTTTTTTCTTCGATCTGTTGTTTTGTTCCGCCACTTCTAATAGAGTAAAAGACATTTACCCACCAAGTGTTGATGAATCAACGTTTCCCACCTCGGCTTCATAAATTGCAATTTCCCACCTAATTTTAAATTTAACAGTTAAAAGGGTATTTAGGTCTTTTATCCAAAAAAATAGTAAACCCTAATTTCTCTCACTCCCCCAAATTAGAAAAATCTCAAAATTCTCACAACCCAACCCTCCTCTCCACCATCGCCACCATAACCACCACCACAAACATCGCCATGGAAAGAGGAAAGGAGAAAGAGAAGAGAGAAAAAGGTAGAGAGAGATAAGGAGAGAAGAGAAAGAGGTGGAGAGAACCCATCCTTGGGTAGTCAAGTGAAGGACAAACGTTGGGATCTATGGTTAAGGTGCACGGTCTTAGGTTTGAATCTCCCTGGCTCCTAAGATTTAAATGGGGTCTGTGGCGGTGGTGATAGGTTGTTGCGCTGGTCTCCTCTAAGGTAGTCGAGGTACACTTAAAATGACTCGGACATCTTGAATTATAAAAAGAAATAAATAACTAAAGGTGGAGAAGGAGAGAGAGAGAAAGAGGCGGAGAATATCACGATGACTAGATTTGGTTGCTGACAGAGAAGAGAAAGGTTAAAGAAGAAGGTGTTATGAAATAAATTTGAAATAAAGACGGTACTTTGCTAATTCTATTAATTTAAGAGTTAGAAAGTAATTTATTATTTATTATGTTGTTATAGTAAGGGCATCTCAATGATGCTCTTTATTTTAAAGAACTATTTTATATCAATAAAGAGCATCTTATTAACTTTTAAATATAAAAAAAAAATTTTTATTCAAATCTAATAGATTCTTTAAATTTTAGGAGAGGAATATGTTTTTTCAAAAATAAACTTATAAGAGAGATAAATCATAAATAAAATATATAAAAACTTATAATATTATTTAAAATTATGATAGAGAGTGAAATTTTACTTTTAAATATGAAAGTTAAACTCACTCTTTAATTTATTCGTAAAGAAAAAAGAGCCTATTTCTATTTCTATGAATAAACTCTAACTAAGAAAGAGGTTGACTGTATTAATATACCTTGGAAATGTTAAGAAAAAAGGTATGCCTAGTCAAACATGATCAAAGCAAAATTTAGTTATCAGAGTTTTTTAAGTGGGTGGGAATGAAAACTGCGGTGAAACTGATTCGCCAAATCTTGGGGTGAGTAATGTTTTAATCCTCTAGAATCTAGGGGATGTTGTTAAGCTTATAAGTGGTCAAAAGTTTATAAGCTCTAAAATTAAGCTGACCTGTTTGTTTATAATTTTTTTAGCTTATAAGCCAAAAAAATAAGTTGGGGGAGGTACTTTTTTTTTTTTTTTTTGCTTATAAGCACTCTGCTATAAGCTAGTTTGATCAAGTATATTATATATTATCCTTGTTTAATTTTAAAATTCGATGAGTGATCGGCTTTATTGATCTAGGTCACTGTTTATTTTGTTTCTATAACTCCAAGTACAAAGTACAATTAATTGTTTGATTATTTCCTAATTAGAATTATTGGTGATGTACTCTATCTTTGTTTTCTCAATTCTTAATAAAACTTAATCTTCTCATTAAATCTTGCTTATTCTATATGAATAAAAAAAACAAAAATTAAAAATCTTGCTTATTGTATTCCAAAATATAGTAAGTATCTCTTATGTGAATAGAACATAAGACTCTCTAAGTATAAACTATAATTAACCTTAATAGTTAAAAGAGTTTGCCATCCAACCTTAGGAGAAGAAGTGATTATTTTCTTGAAATTTCAAGGAGCATTGGATCGATAAAACAGTGGAGCAAACAGTTACAACTTACAAAGTCTGAATTTAACTAGTCAACATTGGCGATCAATTCATATATTGAATAACTCACCATACTACAGTTTTTCCAGAAGAAAAATCACATTAAAATATATAGAGATTTTATCACGACGATTAACATAAGAATATCCACCATTTAAATTGCAGATTTCTCATCATTTACAAACTGAACCTCAATTTGACATAATACTGTCAAAATAGTTAAAATTTAAAAAAGATGAAAGAAAAATTCCCTTGATAAGAAGCTTTCTGAATCCGTGTCTCTCTATCTACCCCTTAATAGGGCCTTCTCTGCAGTGTCCATCTCTTCAAGAATCCTGGCCTTTCTCTTAGCAGGAATTGGAGCAGCGGGTCCGAAACTAATGTAATGCCCTGAAACAGCATTCAATGCAGAGTAAATATCACGAAACGAAGCTCTTCCAAGTAAAGCTTTCTCTCTTCTATACTTCGCCACCCAAAAATTTGAAGCATCTCTTAAGTCAGCAACTGCAGTTGCCACATTTGGGTCGTTCTTATCCATGGTGATTGTAGTTCTAACTTTGGTTATAACATCTTCTGTGTCTTTCACATACTCTTCATCAGAAGAAGCAAAGGCTGGGGTAAGAGGAGATAGAAACAAAGGAGAGAGTATGCCGCTGGCAGATAGGGTCAAGAAGTGTCGTCTTAGTGGTGGTTGTTGTTTTAAATGAGGTGGTTGTGGCGATGGAGTGGGAGTGGGAGTGGGAGTGGCAATGGCGGTGGTGGAGGATCTGGGCTTGATTGAGGGGAGAGTTTGGGGCTTGGAGGAGGGTGTTAGGATTGTTGGTGAAGCCATGGTTAATTTGGTTATGTTGGAAAGAGAGAGTTGAGGATGGCAAGTGGTCTGTTTTGAGTAGAGAGAAAGGAGAAGAGGACTGGGTTTTGTGACACGTGGGCGTGGGCTTATCACCTTATCTTATTTTTGTTTTATGGATGAGAGAAGATCCAATTATATGTTAGATATAGATCTGCATGTGTCCCTCCCTCGAACTTATGTTGTTAGGCCTGTAAAGAGTTTATGATAAATTCTGAATATTGGTAATTTATGTTAATGTAATTAATTGCTATAATATGTCATTATTAATATTATTCCTAATTAAAATTGTTTTCACTAGTGTTGATGCCATTTTTCACACTAATCGAGAAACACATAAATCTCAGAATAAAATCTAAAATTAGTGCTTTAATCATGGATTGATGCTAAAATGATAAATAAACACAAAGGACAAAGAATTTTTAAAATAATTCGAATTTAAGGTACAAATCTTACGTCTATTATTATTTTATTACTTTTATTATGTAATTTTTCAAGTAGCAGACAGTTCAATTCTAAGTACAGATAAGGCATTTTATATAGCAAGAAAATAGATTGTTCAAAAATCCCTTCATTAGGGTGAGAGACTCGTTTATATATTGTTCACGTTGTCTTAGTGGACTTGCACATGAAATAATCCTAATATGAAGTGACATACAGTATTGATAACACAAGTTGATACTTATAAATGAAATAATTTTTGATCTAATAAAGTGACAAACGACCTACTGTCGGTGTATTATTGAGACACATAACATGAATCCATGTAAGATGAATTAACCGCACAACAACTAGTCATTTGAGTAAACTTAGGAAAGCCCAACTTGGAAACCGAGTTATCGACCTAAACCTGGATGTGGTGGGATTTTGTTAGGAACTAGGATTTATGTTAAAAGTATGGCAGTGATGAAATTATAAAATTTGGATTTGGAAATGTACTACTTTGAGAAGATACTCTTTTTGGGCCTGAAGATAAAGGGTGGGCTTAAAAGATGTAAGAATAAACTCTGGAATATTTATGAAGAATGAGTTGGGCTTACTTGAAAGATTTTGACATGCTCATTGCAAATTTGCCATTATATTCCTAACATATTATTAATATCACATGGATAAATAAAATATTTTTGTAGACAAATGAGAAAAACCTTTTCATATAAAGTAGTTAGAAGAATTTATAAATACTTTTCAAAATGCGATACCCTATAATTAAGTATTAGCCCTACCAATCTCATGCTTTCAAGAATCATTATGTATAGAAAACACATCTTATGTTGCTTATATAAATTATGGGTAGAAGCAAGTTTCACTTTAAAAGTAGTTGGACAAGATATGGAAATTGGGCCCAATGAAACCTTTAAGAATCTATAATCGATCTTACCTGCATGACCCTACCAATAATAACATAACATATGCTATCAATCCTTAAAATATTGGATGACAAATTAATACTTTCTTCATAAAGAAGATAGGTTTAAAGTTTATCGTGTCTCTAATCATGATGTTTCGTACTCTTTCATCATAAAATGCGATTTCTATTATTCTATTTTTGACTATAATATGTCAATTTTATTCCTTTTTTCTCTTTTTACCCTTACCTAAATCTAAAGAATATGCTTTCACTAAGCTAAATATCATTTCAAAATCATCGCTATTCACAAGCTTCAAATATTATATCTATTAAATGATTATATATATAAAAGTTTACTTCATTTTATAAATAATGAGAATTTATGTAGAGTAAATGTAAAATTTAATAGTATGCAATTATGAAACGCAATTGTCTCCATAATCATTCTCATAATAGAAAAAGGGAAAATGAGGAGGATGTTGAAGAAGAAAGTATGTGATGTGCTCCATTAATATAAAAAGCAGCATAAAAAAAAAAAGGGCCTACATTTTAGACTATTTGTTGTAAAGATAGAGAGCATTATAGTAAAGGCATGGAAAAAGTTGTACCAATCACCATTGAAGAAGAAGGGAGATAAAAAAAAAAAAAAAAAGTTGGTTGTGTTGTCTATCAATGGATATCTTCATTGTCTACTGTTTACTCATTTGGAAAGAATGAGGAGCTAAATCTTTCAAATTTTGATAAAATCCAAATTAAAATCTTCAAGATTAAATTTGCAGTAACTTTTGAGCTGTGATATTAAATTTAAAAACTTCAAGTTGATATGAAATTTCCCAGAAACTGCTTCAACCATCTTCAATATCACAAAAGTTTTGGCTTAAAAATGAAAGTTTCAACTACAGTCGTACAAATATAGCTTCAGAGAAACGGATGGCTTGTGATGAAATAAATTAAGTTCAACACTGGCATGGGCATGAAATTAATAATTTCTTCTACCACTTTCTCTACGCTGCATGTTTACTGAGTCTGCTAGTTAGGGTTGGTAGTTGCATTTAGTTAACATTTCAACTCAAACGTAGTTGGTTTAGAATGATATCGAGATGAGAGTTTTGAATTTGATGGCAACGTTCAACCAGAATGTTTATTGCTAGCTCATCTTAATAATTGAGTACAACTATTTGAGGTAATGGTTGTTTAACTTTATCTTAATTAAGACTAACTCCACATGCATGGCTATAATAATCTAAATCACTTTATAATCATTGGCACCTTGTTAAAACAATTAACCACCCATCAAAACTGAGTTTGAATTGATAATACGTGAGGGTTGTTGATTCGAATTAAATAGATGGGAGTCGTGGGGACATAGGGAAGGCCCGGCACCTTTCCCTCCAACTTATAATAATAAAGTAAGGGGAGGACTTGGACCAAACTGTTGACTGTGACCACACCAATAGAAGAGACGGGTGAATGTGAAAGTGAAACAATTTAATAAATATGAGGACGTCACGTGGCCCATCTTCCCTTTTTTTTTTTTTCGATCTGTTTTTTTGTTCCGCCACTTCTAATAGAGTAAAAGACATTTAGTATTACCCACCCAAGGTTTGATGTTCCCACCCTCGGCTTCATAAATTGTAATTTCCCACCTAATTTTAAATTTAACAGTTAAAAGGGTATTTAGGCCTTTTTATCCAAGAAATAGTAAACCCTAATTTCTCTTGCTCCCCAAAATTAGAAAAATCTCAAAATTTTCTCACAACCCAACCCTTCCTCTCCACCATTGCCACCATAACCACCACCACTAACATCGCCACAGAGAAGAGGAAAGAAGAAAGAGAAGAGAGAAAAAGGTAGAGATGAGATAAGGAGAAAGAGAGAAAGAGGTGGAGAGAACCCATCCTTGGGTAGCTCAGGACAAACGTTGGGATCTATGGTTAAGGTGCATAGTCTTAGGTTCGAATCCTCCTGGCTCCTAAGATTTAAAGGGGGTCTATAGCGTGGTGATAGGTTGTTGAGCTAGTCTCCTCTAAGGATTAGTCGAGGTACACTTAAACTGACCCGAACACCTTGGTTATAAAATAAATAAATAAATAAATAAATAAAGGTGGAGAAGAAGAGAGAGAGAAAGAGGCAGAGAATATCACGATGACTAGATTTGGTTGTTACAGAGAAGAGAAAGGTTAAAGAAGAAGGTGTTATTGAAATAAATTTGAAATAAAGACGGTTACTTTGCTAATTCTATTAATTTAAGAGTTAGAAAGTAATTTATTAATTTACTCATTGTTATAGTAAGAGCATCTCCAATGATGCTCTTTATTTTAAAGAGCATATTTCATATAAATAAAGAGCATCTTCATTGATTTTTAAATATAAAAACCAAAATTTTTATTCAAATCTAATAGACTCTTTAAATTTTACGAGAGAGAATATATTTTTTCAAGAATAAAACTTAATAAGAGAGATAAATCATAAATAAAATATATAAAAACTTGTAATTTATTATTTAAAATTATGATAGAGAGTGAAATTTTACTTTCTAAATATGGAGAGTCAAACTCACTCTTTAATTTATATTTAAAGAATAAAAAATATATTTCTATGAATAAACTCTTCGTAAGAAAGAGGTTGACTCCTATTAATACACCTTTGGAAATGCTCTAAGGGGGCGTTTGGTTCAGAAATGTTAGATTATTAAAAATATTGGATTACTGGAAATATAGATTACTAGGAATATTTAGGAAAATGTGTTTAGTTAGTTGGTGGGTATGTTATATTCATATGTTTGGTTATGGGGAATAAATTGGTGGGTATGTTCTTTAAATTAGTAAATTGTCCCTTTTTTAAATATTAATATAATATTATTTTTATTATTAATTTTTGAATAATTTCTTTTAACCCCCAATATTTCAGATTTAGCTAAAACACCCCGCTTATATAAAACTTTAATTTATGATGAAATCACCCCCACCTCTTGCTGCCACAGCAAACCACCGCCAGAAGTCTCTGAAAGTAGCTCACCGTGACCAAGAGGCTTTAATATGGTCATTTCTGGCCATATTGATCACCGAAAACGGCCATTATCGGCCAGATCTGGATGAGATTTGGCCGTTAGCGGCCAGATCTCGCCCAAATCTGGCCCATCGATTTGGTCGGAAATGGCCAGAATAGATCTGGCCTAGTATGGCCGTCTTCGGCCATTAATATGGCCGGAAACGGCCACACCGAAGCCTCCCACAGAATCTCGTTCTTTTTTAGGGACTCCGGCAACTTTCCTGTGGCGGTCCGTGGTGGTTGGCCCACTGTCGACGGTGGTGGTTGGGTGGCAGTGGTGGTCTGTAAATTGTTTTAAATATAAGGGCATTATTGTCTAAAATTTTAATTAAATAAGGGTAAAATTGAAATAAGATATTAATGTAAATTTCTTTTAAAATAGGGGTATTATTGTCCAAAATTTTTATTAATAAGGGATAAAATTGTAACAAAAAAAAATAACTATAGTAATATTAGAATACCTAAGATAATAAAGGTAATCAAATTACCTTCAATATTATTAATAATAACTACTATTAGTATTTAAAGATTATCGATATCTTATATTATTTGACAACTAGACAATATAAGATTACTTGTCCCATTAATGTCAGATACCCTCTAACCAAATGCCCCTAAGCGATTAAAAAAAAGGGTATTTGACTAGTCAAACATGATCAAAGCAGAATTTAGTTTATCAGAGTTTTAAAGTGGGTGGGAATGAAACTGCGGTGAAACTGATTCGCCAAATCTTGGGTGAGTAAATGTTTTACTCTAGTATCTAATCAAACAACGCCCCTAAACCAACACTCATTTCTTCAAAATTTAATTTATTTTGAAATCACAAGATAATAAGATAATATCAATTATCTTAGGGTCTGCTTTGAGATTTTTTTTTTCCAATAATTTTGAGGGATTTTTAATTAAACTGATTTTAAGATGTTTTAAAACTATTACTTATCAGATTTTTTATGTACTAGTTTTGATTGGCTTAAAAAACCCTAGAACCAATATAATATATTTTTGAAGGGTTTATAAAACACCTCAAATCGAAGTGTTTTAGTTGGTTTTAAAATTTTATTCCACAAATACCCTATCCACTATAAAGCTATCTCAATTATATATATAAAAAAAATTTAACCATATTATGCACGCCTTCAAACATATTAAATATAAAATAATTTTAAGCAATCATAAAAAAAAAATTATTAAAATCTCATTTCTAGATGTTTTCTTAGAGAAGTGGAGTTTCAATTTTTTAATCATTCCTGATGCTGTAATGAATGACGAAGAAGTATAAGAAGACTTTATCACATTTGAAGTTATAAAATACTAATAAGTAGAAAATAAATAAAGAACTCTTATCTTAAAGTACTGACTAGAGTTGAGATATTTTTATGAATATATATATAAATTTATCATTTCAAAAAATTATTAGAACTGTTGAAAAATAAACTCCCAAATATAAATTAGGTGTTTTAAAAATCGTTACGATAGTCTATTACCATCCAAACCGCTACAATGAAAAACTTCAAAAAGACCCCTGGACTTTTTAAATTTTGATTTATTTTACTTAAATAGTAAAATGAAAACAAAATTTGACGACGCGCCAAGATGGAGAGCGTAGAGGTGTAAGTAAAGAGAAGTGAATTGGTTTGTATAATGATTATGGGCGGGGCGGGGCGGGGCGGGGCGGGGGCTTCACAGTAACTGCCGGCCAATGCTCTATCTTTATCTCTATTTTAGTTTAATTTTAACTTTTTTTTTAACTTTGCTGACTCTCTCTCTTTCTCTCATTTGCTCCATTTTGCTTGCACTTCTGCTTTTGCAATTAATGCCATGAACCCATCCCATCTCCATCTTTCGCTAATAATATCTCTTCTCCTTTTTATCTTTCATTTTTTTCTTTTCTTCTCAGTCTCATCAGAGTCCCAGCACAACTTTATCTTATTTACCCACCTCCAAGGTACTCCCATTACTGCTATTTTCTTCTTTCTTCATTTTTTAGCTGCTTAGCTTTGTCTTCTATGTGAGTGCTTCCTCTGAATTTCCTAAGTACAACATAAAGCAACAAAACAAAAGACACAGACACCCCTGTTTTTATTTTTTATTTTTTATTATTATTTTTTTAATTTGATTTCTTAAAGTTTTTACTTTTAAGCGGAATTGTTGTAACAACAGGTTTCAGTAAACTCAGCTCAGTGAGATAAAATTATTATTATTATGTTTTAAAATTTGAAGTTTGATGGATTATTACGTAATGTTTACTTGATCTCTTGTTGTTATCTTTACTTTGGTGTTTTATTTGATTTTGCTTTGACAAAATCATACCTTTCTTTCGTCTTTTTCTGCTTTCCGTTTTTGCTTTTACCTATTCTCTCAAGTGGGAAATCAAACTCTCAACACGGTTTCTTTCCTCTTGTTTGGCCCCTGATCATCTTTCTTTTAGTACTCACATTCTTAGTATAACTGGGTTTACTTTTACTTTTCTCTCTCTCACTCTCTCTTTAAAATTTTGTTAGTATTTTTTTGAGCCTCTGAGACTGAACATAGAATTGTGGTGTTAGATTAGGGTTATGTGAGGTTATGCCTTTGTATACTGTGCTAAAAAGTACTTGTCTTTGACACTTTGGTTTAATCTCCTTGTGGATTTGTCTTTCTTGTGACCGTAATCCGAGAAGGTAAAAATGCTATATTTCTCTCGATATTCTGATTCTCATTTTCTTTTCTCCACGTTGTGTTTGTCATTTTTTCATTTGTGTGTGTGTGTGTGTGTGGTAGGCATTGGTTTGCTTTCTATGTTGAACATGTAGATGGGTTTTGTTTGAATTTTAAAGACATGGAAATTTCATGGTTATCCTTGCATTTATATTTTAATAGGACAAATTTCTTGTGTTCTGGTTTGTCCTTGATTTACATGCTCCTGATTATTCTGTTATTTAATTATAGTTTTTCGATTAAATTACTTGTAATCTCGCCATTTGATTTGGATCAATGTGAATCTGTTCAAAGACAAACAATCAGGACAGCCTTTTAAGCATATTCTATTCCAAGGTCACATGGAATATTTTTAAATACATTGTGTTCCACCTGTTGAGTTTTCTTTATATGCAGTCATTTCTGTGTTCTAAGACATTATATTATAAACAATTCAATCAACTAGCTTCTTCTTGTTTTGTTCAGCTGGTTTTGTTATCGATCCACGTAAACTCCAATGGATTATGTTTGACCAAGATTAAAAAGATCTCCAATTTTCTATATTGAGGGTGTAAAGTTCCTTGTGGTCTGATGTCTGGGAATCTTTTTAGAGCGGACAGTCATTTGCTTGGTTGACCATTCCAGCAATTACAGAATTTCATGTGAGATCTGTTCTGGCATAAAGAAGAACCCTGTCCCTTAATTGCAATTGATGTCTTTTTTCTGGAGCTAAGAAAATGGGGGGTTGTGTTTCGACTAGTAGCCAGAGTAATTGTAGTAGCAGAAGCAATGGAGAGACAGTTTCCCCTGCATGTTTGGGAATGGGATTTTGTGGCCAAAAGAGAACTAAGAGAACATTCTCAGAGCATCTTGTTACTATGCATAATTTATCTTCAATACCCAACAGGGTTTTTATGAATGGAAAAAGCCGAACCTCTTGCATATTTACACAGCAGGGTCGCAAGGGAGTCAACCAGGATGCCATGATTGTGTGGGAAGTAAGCGCTATTCTTCTTTCTTCATTAGATGTAGCTCTTTTTTTTTTTTTTTTTGTGTGTGTGTGTGTGTGTGTGTGTGTTTTCGGAGACTAATTTCTAGTCACACTTTGAATTGCTGTAGGATTTCATGTTGGAAGATGTGACTTTCTGTGGTGTCTTTGATGGCCATGGTCCTCATGGGCATCTTGTTGCTCGCAAAGTGAGGGATGCTTTGCCAATAAAATTACTATCATTCTTGCTATCTTCTCAGTCAAGGCAGAATGCTTCAGGTAAAGCATGTTTCAAAGCGAATATAAAGAAAGCAGATACTGGAGATACTGAGAAGGATGGCTCACCTGAGGATAAATTGAACTCGTTATGGAAAGAAGCATTTCTGAAGTCATACAAGTCCATGGATAAAGAACTGAAGTCCCATCCTAATTTGGATTGCTTTTGTAGTGGTAGCACTGCTATTACAATAGTGAAACAGGTATGGCATGAAGTGCCCATTTACTCTTCATATTCAGTTTGTTTAGATTTCTTCTTATTGTTTATTTTTATTTTGTGATTTCAAGGGGGCCAATCTTTTCATGGGATATATTGGGGATTCACGGGCGATTATGGGATCTAAGGACAACAATGATTCTATGGTAGCGATTCAGTTGACTGTTGATCTAAAACCTGATTTGCCAAGTATGTCTTGCACCTTTAGAAAATTTCTTTGGCCATCTGCTTGTTTGCATGAATCTTGGTATCTTACTGCTATAAATGTAAATTGTCATAGGGGAAGCTGAGAGGATTAAACGATGTAAAGGTAGAGTGTTTGCATTGCAAGATGAGCCTGAAGTATCCAGAGTTTGGTTGCCCTTTGATGATGCTCCTGGTCTAGCAATGGCTCGAGCATTTGGTGATTTTTGTTTGAAGGAGTATGGGGTGATTTCAATACCTGAATTTTCTCACCGGACACTTACAGATAGAGATCAGTTTATTGTGCTTGCTTCAGATGGGGTAAGTTTTTCACCTCTGATTTATTAACTTCTTGATTGTTGAATTTTAATTGCAAATTTCTTTCTACTTTCTGGAATTAATAATTGGTTGTATTAACTTTTTGGTGGGCATGTTTAAAGCTGACTGTTGCTAGAAGGCAATCAAATAAGTGACTAGATTGTCTATTCAGAACTTTATAATTTGGTGGATGGCCCTCTATGTTGTGTTTATAGACCCAACAGTCTGACTTATGGGCAAAAACAATGGTGTTAAGTTAAAGTGTGAAGCTGAAATAACAGAAGGGATAGATATGGTAGAGGGATTGTATCAATGGTTCGAAAACAAAATTTTATTTACAAATTTCTTCATACTTGAGTAATTCTAAATTCAAATTGCAAATCTGATGTTACTTGTGCGTTTCTAAGCTATTGTTCTTTAAAGTGCAAGCTGGAGATTCTGTAGTATTCTTGCATTTTTTACCTTTGTCACATGTCAATAATCTTGAAAAAGTTTGGAGCCATCTCCTTAACTAATTGAAGACAGTCAATTTTAGAAGTATATTGATATGCCCTTTTTTGGGTTTTTAGCTGCAGTACTGGTAATTTTCCACATGTTATCTATGAATTTTTATTTGGAAACACAATAGACCAGTTCATTTTCCTGTGATTATCTGAGTAGACCAATAAGAAATATTCTGGTTGAGATATTTATCTCAGTTCTTGCAGATTTAAAGTATGTTTCTGTAACATATTTCGATGAACGAATTTGTGGGTTCCCTCAATATTCAGGCTTTCTGCTAGGCCTCAAAAGTAGAAGACATGGAAAAAGCAGAGGCTCCCATATTTCTCTTTCTTAGGCATAATAAGTATGTTTATTTGTCTTAGTATTGACCTAAATGGGTTGGAATATAGGAAGGTGTGCACGCAGTGCTATACAACTTACTGGTAGGGAGAGACGCTTTAATTTGGGTATTTTATATTGAGTGGGCTTGAGCTTACATTTTCATTGACAAGATTGACTATATGGGTTGTAACTTGTAAGACTCTTCCTTGTGGGTTTACCGGTAAGAATTCAAATTACAGTTAGTACATGAGAAATAGGTAACTCTTCATTGAGTGTTCATTTATACGACTACTGTTAACAGCAAGAGTCATTAATTGATAATAAACCCAGTTTCTAGTAAATTTTACAGATAATTGTATATTGTCTTACAGATCAGCTTTTTCTTCTTTATCTTTTTAGTTAATATTTGTTTGGATTCTTCATTTAAAAAAGTTTAATGATCAACTCGAGCTGGCACATAAACTTAATAAATTCCATCACTTGCAAATACAGTTTTATGACTGCACATGGAAGAGGTAATAAGGTTTAATATAAAGTCATCATATTTCACATTTTAGATTTTATCAGAGAGTGCCAATTTCATATAATGGACAAGTCAGGAACTTCAATAAAAGTCATTCGAAATTACAGAAAATTTAACTATGTGATTGGGAGACTTTGATAACCTTGTTGATGATTATTGTTTCTTGTCTTGAAAGCTAAGCATTTCCTTACAAGAGGAATTTCCCTTACAACATAGATTTACCATAAGATAATTCAGTTTTTCCTCATAATTTAACTGTGTTGTTGTTACAGGTTTGGGATGTCTTGAGCAACGAGGAGGTTGTTGAGATTGTATCCTCTGCACCAACCCGGGCGTCTGGAGCTAGGATCCTAGTGGATGCAGCTGCGCGTGAATGGAAACTCAAATATCCAACTTCAAAGATGGATGACTGTGCGGTGGTTTGTTTATATTTAGATGGGAAAATGGACTCTGAATCTGATTATGATGAACAAGGCTTTTCATCTGCAACCCTTCAAAGCAATCACTCTGGTAATGCAATTGAATCAGATGATGGCCAGAAGTCTGAGCCATCTTTGCAAAGAAATTTCACCGTTCGATCATCAGATGAAAGTGATACTTATGGAAAAGTATCAGTCGAGGATGAAGGGAATGGAGAAACAGTAGCTGCTGAAGATCAGAATTGGTCAGGTTTGGAAGGTGTTACACGGGTGAACTCTCTAGTACAACTTCCAAGATTTTTGGAGGAAAGGCCGAACCCTTAAATTTTGAGATCATTGTAGAAATGAATGGAACCCTGCTTTCCTTGTAATATCTTGCTTTTGAGCCTCGTTAATTCGAGAAATACTTTGGATTGGCACTCTGCCGAAAAGGGTTTGTGCAGTTTCCTCTGGGCATTTTGTTATTGTTATATTGCACAGAATTAGTGGGATGGTTTTGTGCAGGAATTGTACTGATCGGTATAATTGTATTAATATTGTTCCAGTCTCTATCAAGATTTCCTGTCTGGTTGCTTTAAGATATAATCACAATAAGCCTCATTAAAGAGGGAAGTTGAAATTTCAATCATTAATGTAAAACTGGATGGATGGGTTGATACTTGACGCACAGTAAATCATTCTTTGTCTGAATAATTAAAAGACATTCTTTTATCCACAAGAACCTGATTTGACAATGTAGGTGATTTTCAAACTAACTACGTCACTGGCATACTTATCCTGTTACCGGCAAACATCACATCTCATCAAGTCAAAGTTATGTACATTTTGATAATTCGTTTGCTTAATTTTCAATCTGCGGGCTCAAAGGGTCAACCACTCAACCTCCTTCTGATAGAAACCGCAGATCAGCATTAGCTGATTAATTAGTTGACATTATCTGGCTTAAGCACGAGCAAATTTTTAAATGGGTTGACCCAAGTGAAGAGAATCCTGAGAATAATTTATACATATATTAGAGTTCGGATAAGTAAGATCCAGTATTTTTGACATGGCTGCTAAAGTGAGTCTGAGACTCTTAATAAAAAAATTCTGAGGTGTTTCTCTAAAAATCACCAGATACGTTTTTCTAACTTAAAAAAAAAAAGTTAGTTTCTTATTTAAATAAACAATTAAAATATAAATAGAATATATTTCAACTATCTAAAGTGTTTTTTAAAACATTATTTATTTAAATTACAATGAAAAAGATAATAGAATGATGGGTCACTGGGGCCATAGGATAGGAATATATAGTTGATGTAGGTAGCAGTGTAGTATGTACAAAAACAAGCAGAAAATGGGAGAGCCAAGTTCGCGAAAGGAAAATTTTCTACAAGTTACACATGACAATGGCAGACAGAAATATGGAGGCTCATAAATCACATTATTAGCGGTTGCCAATGTTGGTGAAGGCAGGTTAAGCAAGAGAAAATGTCTCTTTACTCACCGCCAAATCTTCACCTAACTCACAATATTCTCGACTATAAGAACACCTCTTACCCTTGCACACTCTCCATCTCAACTCAAACTCCAAACCTAGCAGGCTACTTATTCTTCTCCAACGAACAATGTCTTACAAAAACTTTATCATCCTCACCATACTGCTTGCAGTAGCTGGACAAGTACTAGCTAGTAGGGGCAACCCAAAAACAAGCAAGAATAATAATGGTGAGATGAAACAACCTGAGTGGTTCCTTAAGTCTGACAACAGTGTGGTCATTCCAGGGATAGGTAGGATTCTGGTGCCACCAGCATTTACTGGCCACACTGTAGGTGGAGTAACAGGTTCCAGTGGAAGTGGAACTGGGATTGGGACTGGAACTGGAACTGGAACCGGAACCGGCACCGGCACCGGGACTGGCACTGGGAGTCATATTCCAGGTGGTGATGACACTTTTGTTCCGAATCCTGGTTATGAGGTCCCAACTCCTGGAACTGGTAACGGCGGTGGTGTTCCAACAGCTGCTCGTCCTTGAGTTTGTTAATCTAGCAAGTTGTTCTTTCAATTAATGGCTCTGTTTGGAGCCTGTGAATTTAAATAAGCTGTGTGCATGCTAGTTGATGTAATGTGTTGTTGTTTTGTTACGAGTAGAATAAGCGACTGGATTTGGGAGTTGAACCTAGCCATTGTAATGAACTCCATGACTGTTCTGCAATTAATGAGAGCATGTTTTTTATAGTCTACAGTAAGAATGTCTTTACTGCAGGTTGGCTTTTGTTGCAGAGTGCTCTCATAAAAAGGAAACTATGGTTCATTTTGAACTTGCGTTTAACACAAAATAGTTTATTCATAGCACTGCAGTGAGTTCGACGTACGGTTCCCGGCTCTATCATCTTTACTCTTACCATTATGTAGACATTGCTTTCTTTTAAAGGATGGAAACACATGCAACCAATCCACTTTAAAGCACATTTCAACAGTTTCAACCTCAGATTGCGAAGAAATAAGCCTTTGGATCCTCATTCCATGAAAATGGGGTTTCAAAAGTAATCTAAAGCGGTTTTGATCACAACTAAAATTTGGAAGTTTAGTGAGGGCACTAACCAAGATAAATCATTCATGAAGCCAACTGCCGAAGTCCTCATTTATTAAAGCCAGTATTATACTTTCTACTCAAAGCACGCTTTATATGAAAAAAAAGGCGATTCAACTTGAACCGAACCGAGCACCATGCAAGAGAAAATCTTGACTAAATGAGAATTGTACAGTCCTATAATCTTAAGTAATTTAAACCATTCAATTCCTTGGATGCACTCCAACTGTCTCATACCCTACAAAATAATCTGAATTGCTGATTGAAAATACACTTTTGTTGCCGAAAATTTCACTTAAAAAATAACAGAAAATTCAATGTTATCAACATTTACTGTTATGGGATTAGTACACAAATGTCAATTGAAACTTTAACATAAGATAGTGTCCAACATATTTTTGATAAATATTGCCATTATGCTCCCTAATATTAAGACATGATAATAAGATTTGACATACCCTACCTAACCAGGCATTTGAAATAGACAACTTACAATTAATATGGATTTGTCGAAACGTACGTTGGATCTGATTTAAAAGCAATCATCTTTGTTGTATAATATAATTCATAATTTAATGAGAGTTTAAGACTTGCAAGTGACTATAATATTTATATCCCAACAACCATAAAGGCGTATATTCAATTTTATAGTTAAAAATATGCTATTCAGGGCATCAATGTCTTCCACCACTTGCAACTATTTCTTCATTTTCGTAACCATTGACTGAATGACAATAAAACCATCTCCAATTTTCTTTGCTCTTTTCCTTTTATGATAAAAAGGGAGTATGAACTGAGAAAACAAGAAAATGGCCTTTATCCAAATAATAAATACAGCGTTTTTCCTCAACTTTATTACAGGTCCTCTTACTAATACTGACAGCAGAAAAATCCTCAATAAACAAAATAAAAACAAGATCTCAAAATCACCAAAAACAAAATAGCAGTATGAAACAACTGATACCATAAGACAACTCTAATCCTAATCAACTAATTTCAATGAAGTCTCCTCCGAGATATTGAAATGCTATTTTTCACTTATTTCTTAGGGCCAATCTTAGCAGGCAGTATTAAATTTCACACGTATTTCATTTCTCTGAATGATATTTTACTCTTCAACTGATCAAGGCCAGAAAAAATGATACTGAAATAAAGAAAATATTTCATGTTGACAACGACAGAATGTTACAGAGATAAGCTTCAAAATTCCAAGCTAATGCATATGGGTTGTAACATAGTGAAGAAAGAAAGAAAAAAGATCAGAAAAAAAATATTTATATCACAAATTTTGTTCACATGGTTTCTGTAATGTCAAGATAAATATTCTAAATTTAAGTTACACAATCTGAATCTGATGATGCCAAAACCTGAGATGCCTTAGAACTTTAACTCCTGATATACATGCCTAGACATTTAATTATATTGTATCCTGCAGAAAAGAGAAATGGCTTCGATTAGGTAAAATGGTTCCAATTAAGCAAAGTAACAAAAAGTGACATAGAAACAAAAGAGAAATAAAAGGAAAACAAGTTAATGAATATAAATTTAGCACATAAATTGATTGACATCTGTTATCATAATTCTTGCATAATACCATCAACCCACTAATTCTTAGTATGCATGTAGGATTGTCAAAATATACAGAAACCTTTATCTCAGTCAGGACCCAAGGAAAAAAAAAAAAAAACAGAGTTCATAAGAAGTTAGCATCATATATTTTTGAGGACAATGCTCCCAATTCTGATTACTTGAAAGAAATATTTATTTATGTTTAAAAAACGCACCAAAAATTCTTCATGTATCAAGGAAAGTTCGCAATTAATTCATTGTCCCACAACAAATAGATCAGATCATTGGAGGTTTACGCACTCAATCGTGGCACTCATTTACAAGTGAAGGAACCACAAAAAATAATCTAATTTTTGGCAAAAAGTGGGAAAATAATAATACAGGTATATTAACAGGCAACTTTATTAAAAAGGAATGAAACCTATCAACATATGTAACAAGTGATTAAAATTACGACCTTGACATGATGCACAGGTGGCTTTATAAAAAATGAATGTATACCATAATGAGCCTCATAAAAAAACCCACCAACCACAGATCTATCACATTCTAACTCCTAACTTAACAATTAGTCCAGCCAACCAAGATTCTAAAATCATTACTCCTTCTTTAAGAAACAATAAATTAGGTCACTTTCTTTTTCCATTTTTCCATGCAATTAAGGAGCATATAAGTTGTAAAATGATTGAAATCCTATATTTTTGATGTTGATAAACATTATTTTCCATCTGAAAAGAGTACAGATAGTAACTTAATTTTATGTTGATGGCTATCCCATCACCACAATAACTTGAACTGATTGCTGACAATTGTATCCCAACCATCCTTGACCACAATCAAATCACCAGAACAAGATTAAGCCACAAATCATCAAAGTTATTAACACCCAAGAACCAGTTATATTAATAGCGCAAAAGGATTTTCCTCTTGCATAAACATAGTTTGGGTTCTTCAGGTTTCCCGTGTCTTAGTTTGATCCTCAACGTTTCGTCTGGTCCATGTTGGTCATTTAAGATTTGTGATTAATTTAATTTATTAAAAACTAGATTGGTGATCAACAACTTATGTGGCTAATGCTGCATTATTTTTTTCTAAGATGGCAATTTTTACAAGATGTGGTCATCATCTAGGCATGCATGATGAATGGCTACATCAATCAAATCACTCCACATCCTATATCTCTGTGTCCCAACACTTCAATTGATGACCACACTTCTGCAACAGTAATTACGATCAAAGTTACACGAAGAAGAAAGCAATCCTACATTTCATTCATCTCCCACATCCTATTTGGACTTCCAACACAATGTTTAGCTCCAAAGAGGGGCGCAAAATTGCCAAACCAGAGGTGGCATAATCACAAATTACTTGTAAATCTTGGCATCCTTTTGGTTGTAGAAAGCACCCCAAGGAGCAGAGACTAACCAAAGGACTGTGAAGGAAGTGTGGTCACAAAATGCTATGTACAAAAAATTACCGCAATAGCAGAAACATTGCTCTCAACAGAAAATTTATCTTTATATCAACAATCACATCTCATCAGACACAAAACAATAATTCCAATTAGATTAAATTGAACCCATTATAACATTAGAAGAATCAAACTGAATGAATTGAAATCTGAAGTCACGAATTGAGATCTAAATGAACCCGGAAGACCAAAACTGTATTTTATTCAGAACTCTTAATCCTCTGTCTGTCCACCTCCTTGTCAAATAACACACAGTACACTAAATAGTCCAACTTGATAGCATTCATCTTTTGAACAACTTGATGTCCGCGACTCTCAACCGTTTTAAAACAACACATTAAAGGAAGATGCCATAGGATTGTTGAACAAGAAAAGCGGTGGAATTTCAAAAAAATAAAAAAAATAAAATGCTGGGCTAAAACAAAAAAGCAATTTGTGATCCAACGTAAAAATTAAACATTGGTTTCTCTCTCTCTCTCTCTCTCTCTCTCTCTCTCTATATATATATATATATATATATATATATATCACAAACCAAAACAAGAAAAATGATCGAGCCAGAAACACGAAACAAACAAACAACTAAACCCATGAATCAATCGTATCAAAAGTTCAAAACTACCCAAATCAGATAAAGGAATAGTAAATACATAACCAAACATTCAATCATTAAAAAAAGAGGTGGCCATAAAAAATTACCTGGTTTAAAGGAGCTTGCATAGCAAATAATCAATAGAAACCGAGAAACTTGAGAAGGATGAAACAAAGGAATCCAAGAAAAATGCAAAGAAAAAGATAATCGACGAAAACGAAGAATTTGGTGGAGCCATGATTCCTCTTTACGTAGTTGGTCTTAGATTTGTTGTCTTTAGGTTCATCAAGTGGTTGAAGTGTAACCATTTTATGGATCTAGGGGGATTTGGGGATCTGATCTGTGACTGCTTACCGTTAACAACTCTTTCTGTTCGTTTCTGTCCCGCGCGCGTTTTGTAGAAATTGTGATTAGGTCACGCGACGCCCCCTTCCAAACGGTAACAATATAAACACCGGAAACATTTTTTGTTTTTTACTAATCTTTATTTGACATTAAAATTTGGCCAATACTGTCTACTTAAATCCATCATATTTTTTAATATTAAAAAGGATCTGAAATAATTATTCTTTTATTGATACATTATTAATCTATATTTATTTAGTGTTTATTAAAATTTATTTTTTTGTAACCAATCATCTATCACTTTGCATTACATCAGTATCCACCGATACTATCTATTGAGATTATGAGAGTCACTTTATAAACCAAAGTTAAGTGATCTATGGTAAAAAAACAAAAATAGATTCCATAAACTCTTGATTTCGAAACCCGCACCCCCCCTCCAAGAAGAATGATTATTAAAACTTTTATCTAACCGATAATTCTAAGACCCAATAAATCAGTTGAGATACACACAAACACCCTCGATGATAAAAAAATAAAAAAAGATTACGAGATATTATTTAATTGAATATCACTTTTAAGTATAAATTTGAAGGTTATGGTTAAAAAAAATATTTTCCATCTTCCGATTAGATTTGATGCACTTAGTTAACCATTCGGGGGTGCAGAAAATTTTGTTAATTTGTACAATATTTATTTGCATGATTTGATACAAAAATAATACAACTGTGTAAATTCAAGCGCAGTCTGAACTCTGAACAATAATTTTAAGATTCCGTCCATGTGAATACCTCCAGTGACACGCTTTGATATTACAGAAAGGGATGAATACACTCTGTACATGTAGATCTTCCCAACGAGATTCTTTACGTTTTACGGCTATTCGAACATCCTTCTCAACGAGACATGAACCCATATAATTTATTCCTGAGAAAACACACCACAAAATTAGAAGAACATTAGCATGTTATGTAGTTCATTACATGGTCTTTGGGACAAAGGGGTCTGCTGGGGTATTCAAACTCTGGCGCCAAATATGAGCTCGGTTGCAAATATTAACGTTTTCATCATTTAGAAGGCCCATATAAGTAGCACCAAATATGAGCTCGGCTGCAGATATTAACTTCTGCATTGTTTAAAAGGCCCCTATAAGGGTCCTTTATGAGACACAAACTATGGCGAAGGCACTACCAGTATGTTGTGTTATGTTCACAGATATAATTGGATTTTCAAAAGACATTGAATATCCACAATACAATTCCCAAACAGGCATAGAGTGAGAGGATAGTTGTGTTATACCTCAAGACTGCCTGATGAAGAATTGGAGTCTACTTCTGATGCTGACTCTGATATTCGGGCTTCTGATTTCTCATTTGAGTAACTTCAAAAGTAAAACAATTTCTCATTGTTAGAGAAGAAGAAAGAAAAGCAACATATTTATTACATAAATGACACAGATGATATCCAGTATCATATGACAATCAATGCAGCAACTAAGCATGAAAATGATTGTACCAGATAACTAGCAAGCACAAATTTCAGATGGGAGAAATCCATATTACGTGGCAGTATAAAGAAAAAGTAAACACAGATAGCTATCCCTACATAAAATAAAGCAAAAAACAGATGAACATGAGAAGACCAAACAGGATTCTTCTTATTTTTCAGCAATTTTATCTTTAGTGTCAATGTATTTGGCTGCTAAAAAATGTAAACAAGTCAGATGAAGATAGAAAATAAATGATTGAACATACAATCAGAACTTAAAACCTAGATGAATGCTCATAAGACTGTACATCTACTAATCAAAGAATTAAGCATTTATCCAGATGCTCTCAGTTTAAATTTCTAGACAAACGAAATGTTAGCTACTTACGTTGAGAGTATGGTTACCCAGATGAGCTCCACACAGTCAACCCAAAGAAGCCTTTGCTCCACAGGGATTACACTGTAGGTAATTACGTGGGCAAATGGCCAAAGTTTCCATCCTGCCTGTTGAGCACAGAAAATTGAATAATCACAGCTTCAACCACTATTCAGATCATCACAATAATCAAGGCTATACTAAAAGAGCTCAAAAATATAACCAACAATTCCTAGAACACATCATTTAAGGTCCTGTTATAATAGAAAACTCAAACCTGCAAACTCCCCCAAGCCAAGGCAACCACGTATTACTAGAACACATGGTCAATCATATTTGAAAATTTCAATTTGAAATACTGATAATGCTATATCTATAAGCTTGTGAACATGCTTATAAAATAATAAAATATTAATCCAGCAGATCCACTAGTTCCTTTTCAAACATCACCATCTCTAGTTTTACTAACTACACTAAAAACATGTGAACATGTTGGTAGGAAGCAATTTCTAACATGCAAAACACATATAGAAAAAACTATAAGAACTTACAGTCAGCAAGGGCCAAAATGTTGCCTTCAGTTCACTAAGAATATTGGTTGGGGATTCCAAACGCAAGAAACCTAAAAACACAAAATAGATACTATTCCAGACTGCCGCCCATACTGTTTGGTCAAAGGCAACTTTGGCAGGCACGACCCACCAATCTTCAAATGGAATAAGAGCCTGCATAACGAAGTAAACAATTTCAGCCATCCATATAAATCAATATACTAAACAAAATCCTGAAAACATGAACCGAAAATTATCACCTCACAAAATTGGTAATAATAATGAGATAGGGATCCATGAAGAGTAAACCCGACAAGGCCTGATCTGAACATGCGTTTCAGGTCAAAGTCAAAAAGCGGTTTCCCTTCATAACACTGCATTTAGTAGGAAAAAATAAAAAATCAACAAAAAAAATAAAAAATTCATTGCCAACAAAAACCAATATGTAAAAAGGGAAAAAAAACTATTACATGAAAGACTCACTTGTGCAATCCAATCTCCAATGGAGTAGACAATTCCACTTATTGCCATTTTTGCTAAAACAGGGTTTGCTTTGAGAGCTTCTTCATATGCAACCCAATTGTGTTCAGGTGCATACCTTAAAACTTCATAAAGCGTCCATCCCTGGGAAATTTCAAAGATAGGAAAATGCTGAATCCTGAAGACCAACATAAAATAACTAAAGTAACAAGTTCTGTTCTGTTAATGCAAATCAATTTTGATCCAATTATTAATCTGTGTTCCATTCTTCTAATCTAATACAGTCCCGTAAATATCTTAACAGTTAAAAGAAAATTATCAAATTAGAGCCTTCTTTTTGGAGTAAGTCTTCCTGTTTGGCTAGTAATTAATCAATCAGCTTGAATTCTCGAAAAATCAAATTCAAAAAACCTCAAAGATTATCTGACCCTATGAGATAGAACAGCAAAAATAAAGCTGTAAAACCTCGAATTTTGCAAAAACAAATACCCATCTCAAAAGTCACAACAAGAATATTAGTCAATTGCAAGCAACGAAAAAAAATCCTCAAATTATCAAACACCAATCCACTAAACAAAAGCAAAGAAATAAGATGACTCACATGCCAGTAATCGTGATCAATTGTCAACAACTTAGTGACTGCATAAGTACCAGCACCAAGAACAATAGTAGCATTAACTGCTTTACCAATCAACCTATCATTAACATCAACTTCTTCTTCTTCTTCTTTCTCCCCGGAAGAAACAGGCTCAAAATTTTCAGACCCATTAACCAATCTGTTATCTTTGTCGCTGAATTGCTTATTCCTGACTGGAACCACTTCCTTGTCCTCTGTGACTGAGCAAATCACCCATCTTCTTCTTGCCTTTGAAAATAAGAGGGTTGAATTCTTTGATGCGTTAAGTTTTTGTGGGAGTGTGCAGGTATTGATAGAGAATAGAATCGGATAAAAGTTGTTTTCTGTGGGTTTTCGGATGGTGAATGGAGAGAGTTTATGGGTGGCGATGCTATTAAGAGTTGCCATGTCTTTTGTTTAAAGCTCTAGAAGAAGAGTGTTGCGTGTTTATGTAATGTAATTATGTAAGAAAGATACCTTATTGGTTTTGATTTTTGAACAGACAGTTGATGCGATAATGAGTGCTTTCAGTTCTCACTTAAGCTATGTAGTTCAAAATCAGCCACGTTACTTTGCAGTTGAAAATACTATCGTGGGCGTTAGATAAACTATTTAATTACATAATAGATAATAAATAAAAATAAATTAGCTAAAAAAGGTCCCACCGAGATTTGAACTCGGGTTACTGGATTCAGAGTCCAATGTCCTGACCACTAGACCATGGGACCTTATTGTTTCGATTTCTCAAATTAATAATATTTAACAAAATTTTATTTCTTCATCTACAAAATGACACTGCCCAGTTCACAGTGCCCAAAAACCCTGATGAAGAGAGCGCTGCCGAGACATTTCTCTGCAACCCTTCTCCAATCTCAACGCAAGTTACTTCCTTTCAGTCCACACAACAATGGTGGATTACTACAAAAACTCCCCAAAATTTGTCCCATACCAAGTTTCACCTCAAATCCCAGACGGGTCTTCACCAACTCTCTTCCTCCTCCAGAATGGATAGAGCCATTCAATGATGTTTCTGACTTACTCTCAAGTCCTGGAAACTTAAACCCATCTCCTTGGGTAAGCCAAATCCTCAATCTTTTAGATGGTTCTATGGATATGGAAGCAAATTTGGATTCTTTTTGTCAGAAGTTCTTGATTAAGTTGTCACCAAACTTCGTGTCATTTGTTTTAAGAATTAATGATCTTAGGAAAAAACCTGATGTTGCTTTTAGGTTCTTTGCTTGGGCTAGTAAGCAGAAGAAGTATGCTCATAGGCTTGAAACTTACGTTTCTTTGATTGATTGTTTATCTTTATCCAGCGACTTGGACAGAGTTAGATTAGTGTTTAATGACTTGAGGCAAAAGGGATTTTTAATGACTGTTTCGGGTGCAAATTCTTTGATTAAGAGCTTTGGGGGGCTGGGGATGGTTGAGGAACTATTGTGGGTGTGGAGAAGAATGAAAGAGAATGGTATTGAGCCAAGTTTGTATACGTATAATTTTTTGGTGAATGGGTTAGTGAATTCGATGTTTATTGAATCTGCTGAGCGGGTTTTTGAGGTTATGGAGAATGGGAAAATTAGACCTGATATTGTGACTTGTAATACAATGATTAAAGGGTATTGTAAGGTGGGAAAAACTCGGAAAGCAATGGAGATGTTTAGGGACATGGAGGTAAGAAATGTGGAGCCAGATAAGATTACTTATATGACTTTAATGCAATTGTGTTATTCGGAGGGAGATTTTGATTCTTGTTTGTGTTTATATCATGAAATGGAAGAAAAGGCAATTGAAATTCCCCCTCACGCATATAGTTTAGTGATTGGAGGGCTTTGTAAAGAAGGGAAATGTATGGAAGGATATACTGTTTTGGAGAGTATGATTAAAAAGGGTTGTGAGCCAAATGTGGCAATTTATACAGCTTTGATAGATTCATATGCGAAACATAGTAGTATGAATGAGGCAATAAATCTCTTTGAGAGGATGAAAAACAAGGGGCTTGAGCCAGATCAGGTTACCTATGGAGTTATTGTTAGTGGTTTGTGTAAGAGTGGGCGATTGGAGGAGGCCATGGAGTATTTTGAGTTCTGTAGAGTTAATGGTATAGCGGTTAATGCCATGTTTTATTCTAATCTCATTGATGGTCTGGGGAAGGCCGGGAGAGTGGATAAAGCTGAGGAATTCTTCGAAGAGATGGTTGAGAAGGGATGCACACGGGATTCATATTGCTACAATGCTCTTATTGATGCCCTTGCCAAGTGTGGAAAGATTGATGAGGCTTTAGCAGTTTTCAAGAGAATGGAAGATGAAGGATGTGATCAGACAGTTTATACATATACAATAATCATCAGTGGGTTGTTCAGGGAGCATAGAAATGAGGAGGCAATAAAGCTGTGGGATATTATGATCGATAAGGGTATCACACCAACTGCAGCTTCTTTTAGGGCTCTCTCTATCGGGCTTTGTCTGTCAGGCAAGGTATCCAGGGCTTGTAGGATTTTGGATGATCTGGCTCCAATGGGTGTCATTCCTGAAACAGCTTTTGAAGATATGATCAATGCTTTGTGCAAAGCAGGTCGTATCAAGGAGGCTTGTAAGTTGGCTGATGGGATTGTTGACCGGGGTAGAGAAATACCAGGAAGAATTCGTACACTTCTAATAAATGCTTTAAGAAAATCAGGCAATGCAGATTTGGCAATGAAGTTGATGCATAGTAAGATTGGTATTGGATATGATAGGATGGGAAGCATTAAAAAACGAGTGAAATTCCGCGTTCTTGTTGAAAGTTGATTGTTAAGCTAGATTTAGGGCTGCGTAACTGTGGGCAATAGCCACAAGCTATATATTAAAGATGGTTGCACATAATGTAAACTTTCAGAGATTATGTGACTCTCCAGTTCACCTTAGTACTTGGAGAAGCTTTGATATGATTGGCCTGAAATCTTAGTAAGCTCAGTCAGTTGTCATTTGACTTCAGAAATGTCTGATTAAGTTCTCTCTCTGCTTCTTGGGAACTTGGGGCTATGTGGTCCATGTTGATCTTTGAGCCAGTGCACCAGCCATGGTTCGTCTTCTTTGAATAATGAGTAAATTATATGATTCTGTACGACCATTTCAACAGCACACATCCTAGTGAATTGCAAATGTGGTATTTAATACAGACAAGTGTGTTTCCATAAGTCTTACAGAAACTTTGAGTATGTATGTGAAACTATTAGCGGTGGGAAATATTTCACAAGGTACTCTTGAGCTGTAATTTTTAGGGCTGAGCACGGGGGTAGTGGGTAGAATCGAAACTTGCGGGTAGAATCGGAATCGGAACTAGAACCTACCTGGAACCGACACTGTGTGGGTAGGTTCCAGTTCCTTTTTTTTGGAACCGACACTGTGCAATTCCAATTCTGGTTTCTACATTTGGAGGAATTGAAACCAGAGCCTGGAAAAAAGAACTTGCAGCGGGTACCATGTTTTGGAACCTGGGTTGATATAAATATCTGTGAAGATTAGGGAGTTTATTGTAATTTTACATAAAGAAAATTAAAATGAAAGAAGTTAAATTTTTACAATAACCTAATTAAATAAATATATAATTATAATTATTACATATAAACTACACCATATAAAAAGCTTTAATATATTATAATATATTAATATTAAAGTTTTGATTAATTAAGTATATAATTGGAATTAAGACCAATTAAATGTATTTTAATATCATTACAAGAATTATTTTTGAATAAAATAGTATATTTAATTGAATAATAATATAATATTTATTTTAAGTATATCTTAATAAATTAGTAATTAATTAATTATATAAAATAAATTGAAAAATATAATACATTACTAGTTAAATGATTACTTAATTAATATAACATTCCATTATAAACATTAATACAACACTTAATTAAACAGTTAAAAATTTAATTAATTATAATATTATATTAAAGATCTGTAGCATGATTATTTAATTCATTATAATATTACATTCTAATATGATCACATAATTAATTATAATATTACATAATGAAATGATTACTTAATTAATTATGACATTATATTATAAACATTAGTAATATATTACATTAACACAATACTTAATTAAATTATTAGAAATTTAATTAATTAAAACATTACATTATAATTAAATAATTACTTAATTGATAATAATATTACATTATATTATAATCACTTAATTAATTATAACATTACATAGTTAAATGATTACTTAATTAATTATAAATTTATAACATTATATTATAAATATTATAATTTACTACATTAGTACATTACTTAATTAAATGATTAAAAATTTAATTAATTATAACATTACATTATAGATTTATTAATTATAATATTCCATTATAAACATTAATACAATACTTAATTAAATGATTAGAACTTTAATTAATTATAATATTAAATTATAGATTTATAGAATGATTGTCCAATTAATTTAATTAATTGTTTGTGTTTTGGTTTTGATTAAGGAATTTTACGTGAATTGTGATGAATTGATTAAATTCAAGTGTTGCCTAGAGATTAGAGGATTTATGTGTCACATTGGACACAAATGAATGAGTAATCAAAATTTGTTAGGGGTGTATTTGTAAACTTTTAAGGTTTTTTTGTTATTTTTTAAACTAATAGGGGGGTGATTAGTTTTTTATAGGGTACCCGGGAAAGGAATCAGAACCTACATTTTAGGTTCCGGTTCCTTGAATTTAAGAACTTGCACTATGCAGTTCCGGTTCCGGTTCCTTTTTTTGGGAACATGTACCATGCAGTTCCAATTCCGATTCCCTCGAAAAATGCAGGGTACTCAGAACCGCTCACCCCTAGTAATTTTGAACACTTGCAGCATTCTTATACAGTTTTGGTTGTTACTTTAATATTGCATACTGCATGTTTTTGGGTAGTCTTATATGCAACATTTGCTCTATAATGCTTTATCTAAATGTTGTAGTTTTGTTAATTCAATACATTCTTTTCCTTTCCTCTTCACTTGAATTTATGCGCCATTGAAGTATTAAAATACCTAGTAGTGGATGCATACTTCAGTTATATTTATAGATTAATCTGGAATGATTAGATATTTGCAGTGGATACTGTTTGTGACCAAGTCAACAAAAATATTCTGTATCTAGGGAAAGCTTCTTAAATTATGGATTTCAGTTGTGTATAGTGGATAAGAGACGTCTCAAATAAACAGTATGCAGTAGCATAACATGATGGACGATAGATAATTTGATAGAACACAAGGATCAGAAACGCAGGAATATGCTGCTCATAATGTTGTGCAAGGTTAATAAGGTGGATATAAAATTTAAATGTTTTTAATTGTTATAAAATGAACAAGAAGCAAGAAAGAAATTTCTGTTGTTTTAGACTAGTTAGGACGGCATGGCACCGCACATGTGTAAAGACCGTAGTAGAGCGGTTTTGATACTGAAGCTGCACAAAACAGAAAAATAAATGAAAACCCGTTGGGTTCTTAGAGAGTGATGGCCCATACAGGTAATGGCCCAATCTCAGACTATGTCACTACATCCCCTTATGTATTCGTCAGTCGACGGAATAGAAAATTGCCTTTTCAAGGTTATCTTAAACTTGCACAGCGAGATGGCGGTTAGTGTTTTTGTAAATCCAAGACTTCTATGATGGAGAAATAGTCCCCCGCTATGAGGGATTTGTTTTTCTAAAGCAAAAGAGTGAATGATAACCTTAGTTTTCAGGATGTTTTGCTCCACAGCCCAGGTGGGGCTGATTTGTTCTTGACCACAATTAGTGCTGTTGTTTTGTTGCTCACAGGGTTTATCTTTTGAAGCCAAGATATAACTAGTTATCCTCTAGAATTTTAATGAGGTATGTGATATATAACTTCCCTGATAAGAAGACCTGGAAATGTCCCTATTTCGTCATCAGGCATGTACCACTAGATGTTTGTCTTGTAGCTTGTCAATTACACTTGTCAATCAGCCCCTTCCAATGTATGATCAAAGGAGTGTTGAAGCGAGCAAACTGTCTTATTGACAAATCCTGCATTTGTTAAATATGTCGTTTGTCAGCAACCTCATTGAAAATTTGCCGTAGGAGCTCTCTTAGTTTCGTAGCTCTTAGTTGAGATAGCAGATGTTATTACATTGCAGATGCTATTTTCAGTATTGACTTGGTCTTTCTTTTTTCATTTGTGACTGCAGATATATTTATTCAAGTTACCTTCCATTGGCTTGTTGGTAGTGTTAACTTGTCATGATCAATCATACCATAGAACTCTCTCCTTATCTTGCTGTAATTTTGGTAATGAATATATTATTTGCAGGCAGTCAAAGCCACATCGTTTGTTTTACCAGGAAGAAAGGTACCTACATACAAGTCATACACAACAAACAAGTCCGCTGCAATGTATTTTTTTTTTTTTTTTTTGGGTATCCGGTGGTGTTTCGCTTAGCTTGCGAATATCTCAACTAGTCTCTCGGGACCTGAAGTTAACGGCCAGGTAAGTTTCTAGTGGCTCCATTGTAATGTCACTGTAGCATTAAGGGATCAATTCAGCTCCAACCTAGCTGCACATTGCATAATTTGCTGATAAGTGATAAATTAATGTATTTTGCAGCTAATTTGCAGTGGTAATTAATCTGCTTAATATAACTGGTAGTCATTAAAGTGGTCCTACTGCAATAAAGACGCTGCTATTCGGTTGAGTAGTTCACATTGGGCCAAAATTTGTCGGGTTATAGTGGGCAATTCCAGTGCCAATTGCACTGCTGCTTTCTTTTTCAGTGGTTCATTTTCCGGTCCAAGGAAGATTTAAGATGTGGGGCTGCGCCTTTATCTTCGCTCAATAGTCATTATTCATGGATGACTGAATTCAGCAGTTTTGGCAGCGATTTCAAGCGAATAGACGGGCCTTCAACAAAACCATGTTCATGAAATTGTTTATGGGGCCAGGGCCAGCCACTAAACAACTGATAGAACGACTGATCGTTCCAAAAACAAGAAAGCCTGGGAATAATTGACTAATCGCAAATATACAGTATAGACTTTTTATACAAAATTACACGGTATAACATAAAGCAATGCTTCGATGAAGCATAGGAAGTCGAGTTTTTTAATTTCGGCACATGATAAACATGAGCTGTATAGTGACCATTCAAACTAGAAACTGCTCATTTGTCGAGATCAGCAGTAAAACTTGTACATTTGACATTAACTTGTTCACAGATAAAATTGTCCATTAAACTGAGGAAGCATTCCTATTTCTCACCAACTTTCCACAATTGGTTCAGGCATTTATGTTTCTTAAGCAAAAAAAGCAAAAATTATTTGCAGCTTCCAAAATGGATCATTTAATTCCCGGAGAAGGAATACCTTTTACTAGCTATTTGAAGCCATTCTTTCTTCAAGGTCTCTTCAAACCGACAAATAAACCATTAAGTAACACGATGAAATGACAGCTATATGCTCACAAATCTTGTCCATTATAGGAATGGTGCCATTTTTGGCTGAGCTTGCAAGTTCCTTAGAATATAATCAGAACCAGCTCGCTTTGAGATATAAAATGAGTTTCATGTTGCAGAATATTATTAGCTATTTTAGATGCTGCATAGACGGTTCTTCGCAATTTCTAAGATCTTCATTAATTATAATTCCATTATAAACATTATACAATACTAATTAATGATTAGAATTTATTAATTATAATTTAAATTATAGTTTATAGAATGATTGTCCAATTAATTTAATTAATGTTTGTGTTTTGGTTTTGATTAAGAATTTTACTGTGAATTGTGATGAATTGATTAATTCAAGTGTTGCTTAGAGATTAAGGATTTATGTCCACTTGGACACAAATGAATGAGTATCAAATTTTTTTAGGGGTGTATTTGTAAACTTTTAAGGTTTTTTGTTATTTTTTAAACTAATAGGGGGTAATTAGTTTTTATAGGGTACCCGGGAAAGGAACCAGAACCTCATTTTAGGTTCCGTTTCCTTGAATTTAAGAACTGCACTATGCGGTTCCGTTCCGTTCCTTTTTTGGGAACATGTACCATGCGGTTCCAGTTCGATTCCCCCAAAAAGCAGGGTACCGAAACCGCTCACCCCTAGTAATTTTGAACACTTGCAGCATTCTTATACAGTTTTGGTTGTTACTTTAATATTGCATACTGCATGTTTTTGGGTAGTCTTATATGCAACATTGCTCTATAATGCTTTATCTAAATGTTGTAGTTTTGTTAATTCAATACATTCTTTTCCTTTCCTCTTCACTTGAATTTATGCGCATTGAAGTATTAAAATACCTAGTATGATCATACTTCAGTTATATTTATAGATTAATCTGGAATGATTAATATTTGCAGTGGTACTGTTTGTGACCAGTCAACAAAATATTCTGTATCTGGGTTGGTATTGGATATGATAGGATGGGAAGCATTAAAAAACGAGTGAAATTCCGCGTTCTTGTTGAAAGTTGATTGTTAAGCTAGATTTAGGGCTGCGTAACTGTGGGCAATAGCCACAAGCTATATATTAAAGATGGTTGCACATAATGTAAACTTTCAGAGATTATGTGACTCTCCAGTTCACCTTAGTACTTGGAGAAGCTTTGATATGATTGGCCTGAAATCTTAGTAAGCTCAGTCAGTTTTCATTTGACTTCAAAAATGTCTGATTAAGTTCTCTCTCTGCTTCTTGGGAACTTGGGGCTATGTGGTCCATGTTGATCTTTGAGCCAGTGCACCAGGCATGGTTCGTCTTCTTTGAATAATGAGTAAATTATATGATTCTGTACGACCATTTCAACAGCACACATCCTGGTGAATTGCAAATGTGGTATTTAATACAGACAAGTAAGTGTGTTTCCATAAGTCTTACACAAACTTTGAGTATGTATGTGAAACTATTAGCGGTGGGAAATATTTCACAAGGTACTCTTGAACTGTAATTTTTAGGGCTGAGCACGGGTAGCAGGTAGAATTGGAACTTGCGGGTAGAATCGGAATCGGAACTGGAACCTACCCGGAACCGACACTGTGTGGGTAGGTTCCAGTTCCTTTTTTTTAGAACCGACACTGTGCAGTTCCAATTCTGGTTCCTACATTGGAGGAATCGGAATCGGAATCGGAACCTGGAAAAAAGAACCTGCAGCGAGTACCATGTTTTGGAACCTGGACTGAAATGAAATATTTGTGAAGATTAGGGAGTCTATTGTAATTTTACATAAAGAAAAATTAAAATGGAAGAAGTTAAATTTTTACAATAACCTAATTAAATAAATATATAATTATACTTATTACATATAAACTACACCATATAAAAAATTTTGATATATTATAATACATTAATATTAAAGTTTTGATTAGTTAAGTGTATAGTTGGAATTAAGAACAATTAAATGTATTTTAATATCATTAAAAGAATTATTTTTGAATAAAATAGTATATTTGATTGAATAATAATATAATATTTATTTTAAGTATATCTTAATAAATTAGTAATTAATTAATTATATAAAATAAATTGATAAATATAATACATTACTAGTTAAATGATTACTTAATTAATATAACATTCCATTATAAACATTAATACAACACTTAATTAAATAATTAAAAATTTAATTAATTATAATATTATATTAAAGATCTGTAGCATGATTATTTAATTCATTATAATATTACATTCTAGTATATATGATCACATAATTAATTATAACATTACATAATGAAATGATTACTTAATTAATTATGACATTATATTATAACATTAGTAATATATTACATTAACACAATACTTAATTCAATTATTAGAAATTTAATTAATTAAAACATTACATTATAATTAAATAATTACTTAATTGATAATAATATTACATTATATTATAATCACTTAATTAATTATAACATTACATAGTTAAATGATTACTTAATTAATTATAAATTTATAACATTACATTATAAATATTAGTAATTTACTACATTAGTACATTACTTAATTAAATGATTAAAAATTTAATTAATTATAACATTACATTATAGATTTATAGTATGATTACTTAATTAATTTAAATAATATTCCATTATAAACATTAGTACAATACTTATAAATGTAGAAATTTAATTAATTATAATATTAAATTATAGATTTTAGAATGATTGTCCAATTAATTTAATTAATTGTTTGTGTTTTGGTTTTGATTAAGGAATTTTACGTGAATTGTGATGAATTGATTAATTCAGTGTTGCCTAGAGATTAAGGATTTATTGTCACATTGACACAAATAATGAGTAATCAAATTTGTTAGGGGTGTATTGTGTAAACTTTTAAGGTTTTTGTTATTTTTTAAACTAATAGGGGGGTGATTAGTTTTTATAGGGTACCCGGAAAGGACAACCTCATTTTAGGTTCCGGTTCCTTGAATTTAAGAACTGCACTATGCGGTTCCGTTCCGTTCCTTTTTTTGGGAACATGTACCATGCGGTTCCATTTCCGATTCCCCAAAAAATGCAGGGTACTCGGAACCGCTCACCCCTAGTAATTTTGAACACTTGCAGCATTCTTATACAGTTTTGGTTGTTACTTTAATATGCATACTGCATGTTTTTGGGTAGTCTTATATGCAACATTTGCTCTATAATGCTTTATCTAAATGTGTAGTTTTGTTATTCAATACATTCTTTTCCTTTCCTCTTCACTTGAATTATGCCCGATTGAAGTATTAAAATACCTAGTAGTGGATGCACTTCAGTTATATTTAAGATTAATCTGGAATGATTATATTGCAGTGTACTGTTTGTACCAACACAACAAAAATTCTGTATCTAGGGAAAGCTTCTTAATTATGGATTTCAGTTGTGTATAGTGGATAAGAGACGTCTCAAATAAACAGTATGCAGTAGCATAACATGGACGATAGATAATTTGATAGAACACAAGGATCAGAAGCAGGATGCTGCTCATAATGTTGTGCAAGGTTAATAAGGTGGATAAAAATTTAATGTTTTTAATTGTTAAAATGAACAAGAAGCGAAAGAAATTCTGTGTTTTTAGACTAGTTAGGACGGCAGGGCACAAGTGTAAGACCGTATAGTAGAGGGGTTGATACTGAAGCTGCACAAACAGAAAAATAAATGAAACCCGTTGGTTCTTAGAGAGTGATGGCCCATACAGGTAATGGCCCAATCTCAGACTATGTCACTAATCCCCTTATGTATTCGTCATCGACGGAATAGAAAATTGCCTTTTCAAGGTTATCTTAAACTTGCACGGCGAGATGGCGGTTAGTGTTTTTGTAAATCCAAGACTTCTATGATGAGAAATGTCCCCCGCTAGAGGGATTTGTTTTCTAAAGCAAAGATGAATGATAACCTTAGTTTTCAGGATTTTTTGCTCCACAGCCCAGGTGGGGCTGATTTGTTCTTGACCCACATTAGTGCTGTTGTTTTGTTGCTCACAGGGTTTATCTTTTGAAGCCAAGATATAACTAGTTATCCTCTAGAATTTTAATGAGGTATGTGATATATACCTTCCCTGATAAGAAGACTGGAAATGTCCCTATTTCGTCATCAGGCATGTACCACTAGATGTTTGTCTTGTAGCTTGTCAATTACATTGTCAATCAGCCCCTTCCAATGTATGATCAAAGGAGTGTTGAAGCAGCAAACTGCTTATTGACAAATCCTGCATTTGTTAAAATGTCTTTTGTCAGCAACCTCATTGAAAATTTGCCGTAGGAGCTCTCTTAGTTTTGAGTAGCAGATGTTATTACATTGCAGTGCTATTTTCAGTATTGACTTGGTCTTTCTTTTTTCATTTGTGACTGCAGATTATTATTCAAGTTACCTTCCATTGGTTGTTGGTATGTTAACTTGTCAGCAATCATACCATAGAACTCTCTCCTTATCTTGCTGATTTTGGTAATGAATATATTATTTGCAGGCATTCAAAGCCACATCGTTTGTTTTACCGAAGAAAGGTACCTACATACTCATACACACACACAAGTCCGCTGCAATGTCTTTTTTTTTTTTGTGGTACCGTGGTGTTCTGCTTAGCTTGCGAATACTCACTAGTCTCTCGGACCTGAAGTTAACGGCCATAAGTTCTAGTGGCTCCTTGTAAGTCACTGTAGCATTAAGGGATCAATTCAGCTCCAACCTAGCTGCACATTGCATAATTTGCTGATAAGTGATAAATTTGTATTTTGCAGCTATTTGCAGTGGTAATTAATCTGCTTAATATAACTGGTAGTCATTAATTGGTCCTACTGCAATAACGACCTGCTATTCGGTTGAGTAGTTCACATTGGGCCAAATTTGTCGGTTATGTGGCAATCCCAGTGCCAATTGCACTGCTGCTTTCTTTTTCAGTGGTTCATTTTCCGGTCCAGGAAGATTTAAGATGTGGGCTGCGCCTTTATCTTCGCTCAATAGTTTATTCATGGTGACTGAATTCAGCAGTTTTGGAGCGATTTCAAGCGAATAGACGGGCCTTCAAAAAAACCATGTTCATGAAATTGTTTAGGGGGCCGGCCAGCCCCTAAACAACTGATAGACGACTGATCGTTCCAAAAACAAGAAAGCCTGGGAATAATTGACTAATCCAAATATACAGTATAGACTTTTTATACAAAATTACACGGTATAACATAAGCAATGCTTCGATGAAGCATAGGAAGTCGAGTTTTTTTATGCACATGATAACATGAGCTGTTAGTGACCATCAAACTAGAAACTGCTCATTTGTCGAGATCAGCAGTAAAACTTGTACATTTGACATTAACTTGTTCACAGATAATTGTCCATTAAACTAGGAACCATTCCTATTTCTCACCAACTTTCCACAATTGGTTCAGGCATTTATGTTTCTTAACAAAAAAGCAAAAATTATTTGCAGCTTCCAAAATGGATCATTTAATTCCCGGAGAAGAATACCTTTTACTAGCTATTTGAAGCCATTCTTTCTTCCGACAAATAAACCATTAAGTAACACGATGAAATGCCAGCATATGCCCACAAATCTTGTCCATTATAGGAGTTGCCATTTTTGGCTGAGCTTGCAGTTCCTTAGAATATAATCAGAACCAGCTCGCTTTGATTATAAATGAGTTTCATGTTGCAGAATATTATTAGCTATTTTAGATGCTGCATAGACGTTTCTTCGCAATTTCTAAGATATTACAATCATTTGAATGGCTATCACCAAACCAAACCCCGTGTTGCTTTTAGACCTAAAGAATCTGGAAAGTTGGAAATCCAAACTCTACAAGATTGTCTGATACCAACATGTAAATCACTTTATTTTTTTTATTTTATTTGTACATATCTCAATTAGTTGAAAACGGTAAAGTTATTTTCATTTATACTGTTTTAAATATTGCAATTGTTATGTTCCACGGATATAAAATTAATGACATACTTGTGACAAGAAATATAAAAAAGTAGACATCGATTAGATTGATCACACTCTCAAGTCTAACAATTTGCAAAATGGAAGACCCAACATAATCTTTTGGGATACGGCAGTTGCTGATTTGTTTGCTCGTAACGCAGAGAGATCTTATGCATGATCCTTAAAGATCAAACAATAAATCTTATTATAGGAATTCAGAAAACATGAATAAATTTGAACGTTGATGA